CGGCTTTGTTTTTCTTCTAACGGTCTCAACCTCAATCAGAAAAACTTTTTTCATTTTATTTGGGTTATATTAATTTCTGATTTATTCATCGTGTTTATGCAGCTGTGATTTTATGAGCGCACACTTGTGATAGCCCCGGCTCATCCTGATGCCAGACCTCGTATGTTGAGGTGGCCAATAAATACAGGGTGGAACTCTCCGAAGATCCATTTAATCTTTAGGCAGCTTAGTACTATACAGGTGAATGATACTAATGTCTATTTTAAGCAGGTTTACGTTTAGTATTTTGCCACCTTATTTAATTTTTATGATGAATGTTTTTTTGCAGATTCTTGATTCTCTTATTGATGTAACAGAGGAGGAGCATAGTTTACGAGCATAGTTTACTTGCCCACTCTCGTCTCCTGCAAAGTCAATTGGAGAACCACAAAAAAAGCTCCAATTCGAACCAAACACCACCAGAGTCTCATGGTGATGTTCCTTTTGTACATACTTGCAGTATTCCGCCACCCACACAGTCACATTTGGGTTTAGAAGAGATGGCAAACTCTTAGGGAGCAACAACAAATTTTAGTTCAATTGAAGGATTCCGTATTGACAACAAATTTTAGTTCAATTGAAGGATTCCGTAAATAACCTCAGATTTTTTTTGGAGTATACATTGATGGAGGTGAAGACCGACATCAACAAAATAAAGAGAAAAATAAATAAAGTTCCCATGGAATCTCCTGTAGGTTCTGAATTTACTGGGAAGAAAGATAGCCCAGAAAAGGAAGAAGAGCCACCTGCTCATATTGAGCAAGCGTCGGAACAGGAGTGGGGACCCGATATTCTTGAAGCAGAACAGTCGATAGGTAGAATGACTGCCTTTGATGAAGCTGCACCTGATAGTGAATCTGATAAAGGTGTCGTGGAGAGAAGTCATCCCTAAAGACCTAATTGGTAGCTTAGTCCGAAGGATCAAGTCCAGAGGACCGAGGAAAAAGAGGGTGGTTAGTTCTCCATTTATTGTTGTAAAGAGAAAGAAGCTGG